ACTGTAGCAAGTAGACACGTTACTAGGTAACGACCGCGAAACAAACATGTTTCTACTTCAATGAGTTAACGCGCAACAACAGAGGAACTGTGGGAAACTGTGTTCCCTACGTGGTCCGTGCCAAGAGGCTATTTAACGAGGACACCAGCTGAGCTCTAGTGAGGCTGTCTGTGAAGAGAAGACAGAAAAGTCTATATGTGCTATAGTTACAGTGATCTGTTAGAATGTGTGAACAAATGTGGCTGTTAAGTATAGTCACGAGTTGTGTGTCAATAAATCCAATCTCGAATACAAACCCCACTCACACTCTCTCACGTGAAGGTATTTTTGACACGATTTTAACATGCGCTTTGATTCAGCACTCAAAGTCTTATATTTTCTGAACAAATACATCAGCTTTCCTTCAGCCCGTTTTCTGAACTTTGTTCTTACAGGGTTAGCCATAATTACGGGCAGAATGTACGGCTGGAAATATACGGCGTTCATGTCAAAAAAAAGGAAGTTGTAATTATGAACTGATTTAGAACAAGTGCCGAGCACGGTGGCCCCGTGGTCTAAGACATGAACTGTCTTCGCTCGCTCAAACACTGGGATCGTGTGGTCGAATACCACTCGAGGCATTGACGTCTGTGTATGTTTATCCTGTGTTTGTGTTGTTCTGTGTGTAGGTAGCGGTTTCGCGACTGCTGATCCCCCGTCCAAGGAGCCCTATCCAATGTGCGGAAGATCAAGAAACTGAAAAAGCGACAAAAGTTCGACAAAGAACTGTAGAGTCATATATACACGTAGATTAGAACGTGTATCCAGTAATTGACGTTCTACGAGTACAGGATATTTCTGGGTTTATATTCGCTATATATATAAACTATTATAGTAATCAGAATAGTACTTCAAACAACGTCCATGGGAATTAACTTCGGTCAAGATAGTATTATGCTTGATTTACCTTGCAATGGCACCGCTAGGCAAAAAACTGCCTGCGTCAGCATCTGACGACAACGTGCGTATGAACTGGGTGCGTCGTGACGCAGAATTACGTAATATGGAGGAGCCACCAAGTCATGTGCCCCAAATCAACAAATCGCTGGGTACAGTGACGACAGGCTAATGACCCTTGTATATAACATAAACAAGCGATGCAACGGTGAGACGAAAGATCTAAAATTACGAAATTTTTCTAGCATTAACATTTTGCATGGACCTTAAATTACGTAGTAAGTCATAGAAGGAGCAAGACCTTTTTATTTCAGTGTATCGTGTGTATTATGTGTACAATAATAATATTTTGATGTGGATATGTGAAGTGTAGTTTATTATTATAGAAAACACTCGTAGTCTGAACACACAACGCGACAGGAGGGAACACTCAACACGGCGAAAAACAAGAATTTGTGACGGGAACTACACATTGAATATTAGAAACGCAAAACGCAAGCATAGTATCCTCCACAGAACAATTTAAAACAACTGATGATGACCAATGACGGTCGAAACATGTAGTGGAGAACGTGGTTTTAAATAGGTGTAAAAGACTCATTGACTGTATGCTGTAACTTTAAAACAAAGGATTGAAGGAGTGTAAAAGGCGAAAGATTTATACGTATTGAAGGGAAACGAGCCGAGATAGCGTAGTTGGTATACCGACTGTTACGGGATGGATGACCGAGGGGTCGGAGTTCGAGTCCCGGTGGGGTCAAGAATTTTCTTTCCTCTCCACGTAGTCCAGACCGGCTGTGGAGTCCACCCAAGCTCCTATCCAAAGGGTACCGGAGGTAAAGCGGCAGGGGCGTGAAGCTGACCACTCACCTCAAGCTAGTGCCGAGGTCAAGAAAATGTGGATCTATACATCCATTCCCCCATACGCTTTCATGGCGTAGTGCGTAATTAGTTAAGCACAGGGACAACTTTACTTTTACATTTAAAGGAGTGTTGCATGTAATAGAGAATATCAGTTGTGTATTTGTTTAATAAAAGAAAAATTATGCTATGGACTATATATTTGAGTTATTCGCGGGATATGGCGTTAAAACGTAGGCCTCGACGCATCATTCGGTAACATGTAGGACTGGAGAAGAATACGGAAGAAATCAGAGGGAATTTGACGTTGAATTCTCAACAGGTGTTATTATACAAGCAGGTAAATAAAATACAGATCTCACAACCCCTGATGACCACTTTATCAAACAGCTGTTTTCTTTTTGACGGTCGCCATAAACCAACAAATCGCTGTGTATAGTGCTTATAAACTAAGACCACGTAATCGGCATGTAACAAGCCGTGTGGAGTGTGTATATAGGCCAGCACTCGGACCAAGTGAAATGGCTTGTAGCGCTGTAGCGACACGAAAGAGGATGGGGCGGTATAATCCACGTACAGGGTAAGAGGTCCTTAGTAAACACAAACCTCTGTAGGGAGTAAATCCCTTGCTCAAACACGGGGCAGAGCGCTGAACCGGTCCTATGAAGACTATAATAGTTTCCTAATCCGACAAGCGTGAACAAGGCTTTCTGCTGCAGTTCTGTCCGCGTGACAATGTGGGCCCAGCGTGGGGCCTCCTCCCCATCGAGGGCACTCCACGTTAAGAGCTGATGGACTGACGAGAGGTTAAAAAAACTTTCCGCCAGATTAAAGTAGCCCCTAAACCAAAGTAGCTTTTCAAGAGAGGCCTCCCTTTACAAGAAAGAATAGGTTTTACAAATGGGTTTTTGTGCCTTTGCCCTTATAAGGGGACTAGAAATGAGCAATCCTTCAGAAAAACTATTGATACTAACAAAAGAGCCTTGGCTAATTTTCTAACAAAGCAAATGTTTCTGTACGAGTTTTGTATATAAAACAAATGCCGATTAAGACCTTACAAAGTATAATATTTCCTCGGACGTCTTCAGGGAATTTTTTTTTCTTACTGAATGACTTTTACACATCGCCCATTCTTGAGAAGTTAATTTAATTCAATTAGGCAGATAAAGTTGGCTAAATCAGAGGGCATAAACTGAGAGAACGCTGTCAGTAGCATATCTATAGCATCTCTGAACAGTTTTATAATCGCTGGAGGAACTTATCTCTGAAGCGAAGTGACCTCTGTTACGTAGTCATGTCGATTTGTTTATGCTCACATTTGAAGCCTGAGTTGAAATTCCATGCTTACAATTTAAAAGTTTAATTGGTTAACTTTGAAAACGTCTTGGGGCAAAATATAGTTAGTCTGTAACCGGCAAAGTACCGGGTCAGAGGTGAAGCCCCCAAACTTGCAGACTAAGGATATGATAACGTGCTGCCTGCATACCTTCTGAGACGACAAATGAGTGTGGGACAATGATAGATTGGTGATTAGCTAAGGAAAACTGAAGGAAAACTTGCTGTGTTGCCGTTAAGCCCACAACAAATCCTGTAAGAAATTGTATGGAACTTAACCCCAGTTCTCGTGCATGAGCTGTGACAGAAATATTTCAACGCGAAATACGTTTCGTAGCTACTTCTCGTCGGATAATTTGACGAAGCAACGAAATTTTCTACCTGCATAAGAAAAATGTTTGCTCCAGTTTCATGCTGCGTGACTGAGTGACTATGTTTCTGCAATCTCTCTAATCGACACATTCACGACACAAATGAAAGAAACGCGTTATTGATTTGATATAAATGCCAGTCATTTCGAAATGCATAGATTCGACCTTTTCGGATTAGTTCCACCTACTTCATAAAATTATGTATTTATAATATTACCTGATGATGGAAGCAGGGCCAACTTTCTAAAATTTATATTTCTTTAATAAAAACAAGACAATGGAGATGTCTGCTATATGGAGGGGATATTCGTGGTTAATCTCTATTCTCTATATGTATACACGTATATTATATATAATCAGGACATTCAAATACAAATATTTTAAAATTGATTCTTAAATATGTTACCGAAATGAAACAGGTTATGAACCTATAAGCCTACTGCGTTAAGAAACTGTAATCAGGCCTCCCGTTACCATGCCTAAAGACACATAGATGCAATTATCCGGAATTATAAAGCACGCTTAACGTCCTAAAGCACTCTGGTTACTCTATGTACCTCCTGTTTTAGCACAAAAATCTCTGCATTCTGCTCAGACAATGTATTTGTGTGTTCCTTATTAGTCTCATAATAAACAGCGTTAACCGGTTAAGCTTTGTAGCGGAGACGTAATGTGTTTCCTGTGAGGTACGGACTGAACTCTGCATTGTGCCCACACAGCGTATTTGTATGTCCCGTATGGTGCTCACAGTAAACAGCGATTATTTCCCTAAACAGCATTAACCGGTTGGGCTTTGTAGCGGAGATGTAATGTGTTTCCTGTGAGGTACGGACTGAACTCTGCATTGTGCCCACACAGCGTATTTGTATGTCCCGTATGGTGCTCACAGTAAACAGCGATTATTTCCCTAAACAGCATTAACCGGTTGGGCTTTGTAGCGGAGATGTAATGTGTTTCCTGTGAGGTACGGACTGAACTCTGCATTGTGCCCACACAGCGTATTTGTATGTCCCGTATGGTGCTCACAGTAAACAGCGATTATTTCCCTAAACAGCATTAACCGGTTGGGCTTTGTAGCGGAGATGTAATGTGTTTCCTGTGAGGTACGGACTGAACTCTGCATTCTGCCCAGAGTGTATTTATGTGTTCCATATGGTTCTCACAATAAACAGCTATTATTTAACTAAACAGAATTAACCGGTTAGACTTTGTGGCGGAGATGTGATATATTTCCTGTGAGGTAAGAACTGGTTTCTTATATAAAAATATGAGGAAATTCAGTGTTTAATTGGTTAATTCTGACATATCTGAACCAGAGTAAACGTTTATATGATAAGCAACAGCTGCTCAACAGAACGCGTTGCTACGCGACCTGACCATTAAGTTCAATGGCCAGAGATTTGGACGCCCTCAGAGGCTAGATAGCCATTGGAACTTACCTGAGGGCACCACGGACTGTCCCCTAATCAGACTATTACTTTAGATGGTACAACTTACGTTCTGCCCTGTGTATAGTTGACCAGCCACTCTACCGACAGGGGTCACATCAGTTAGCATCTCGACGCCGGCGTCTTCGTTGCTGTTGTTGCTCTCGGCGTCGTTTTTTGTTAAAACTGTTCAAATAAATTACCCAACCAAACACTTATGTCTCAATAACAACCCACATTCAAGTAATATAGTTTACGATACGAAATAAAGAAGATAAATAATATTTGTCACACATTTGTTGGGTTGGTATCAGTTTAGGGAAGTCCCATTTCCCTTGCTCTATCGCAACAAACAACACAAGCAACACCAACAATTGTGCAGATGGGAGTAACACGCATGAGACACAGCGACTGCCGAACTCGGCTTCACGTCACGTACTGGTCTGCGCGTCGCCACTCGTGCGCGCCGCTAAACGGGAAGTCCCTCCCACTACCACAAACTTACCCCACCTCAATCTAATTGTTGGAGGCGTGGAAAGGCCCTCCTGCAGCCAATAGAGGTGCACCCAGGTTAATGTTGGGGATACGCCCCCTATCGACCATTCCCCTCAAACGGTTCCCTTGTGAGGTTCAGTTTTTTTGTTGCTGTCTGCCATCGAGTGCTGTCAGAGCCATCCTGTGAAGACCCGACACACTAACCAACCCCAACGATAAATTCTCTATAGGTTTATGCTTTTGTTTTGTTGTGACTGAACATCGGTGCGTTTTAATTACTCTTGCAGTATTGGATCAGATTTTTTTCTACAGTTTCTCTTTAACGATAATTGTATGTTATATTTAAGGAAAATTTTAGGAAAACATTATAATGGGTCGAGATTTTGGACCGTGTTGTTCGATAGTTACCCTGAAAATAGAAGCAGTAAGTTACCCTGAAACATTCGGAACTAGGTCCATCTATCAGACTACACGGTATCATTGTCCAGAGAGCAATGGGTCCAATCTTCGTAAAACGCTGTGTTTTTATTAAGATTTAAGAATGCTACAGCGGGCAATGAAGGAGTAAGGGCTTCTCGAATAGCCACCGTGTAGTCGGGTAAATGGGTTCTAACGTATCAAAGGAATTTGTTGTCTTCATTTTCAGTATAAATTGGGAGTGATTTACTTTTCTGTCACCAAATGCATTAAGTTAGGAGACACAAATTTCGGAACTGCATAGCTTTCAAAGCGAGCTCATTTATTTATGCTTATTTACCCAACCGCCTGTCCCTTATGAGAATTTTGTTTCTTCCTGGCTTATGTAACGATGCTATTAGTGTCTCAATCTGCAGGCAGATGACGTCGAACCACAGGGTATTCTACTGAATAATGAATTGGAAAGGCGATAGAAGAAACCCATCATGACTGAATTTAAGGTACTGTGGCATGTGGTTCCGTTGCTAGGCAACAACCGAGTAATAAAAAATTGTACAACCGCCTTTACTACGCAGCGGCTCTGAAACAAATACAGATTAACGGTGTTTTCTGTGCCGTCCGTGCCTAGATGTTAGTGAGTTAGAACGGATGTTCCAGTCTTTGTGAGCTGTTGCTTTGAGAACCTGGTAGCTGAGGCCGAGGACAATTCGGGAACCCAGAGGAAAAGGGAACGTCCAACGTTGGGAGCTGCTGCCAAGCAACGGCTTTTGAAGACTTGACTGTGGGCAATAGTATGTGTGTGTAACAGTGTACTCTGAAGTGTAGTGACGGTTACCAATCCAAACCACGTCTATAGTCACTAAAATCGTGTCAGCAATATACTATGTGACTGGTCATAATGACAAAATCCGCAAAAAAAAAATCCTCATTTAGGATGAGTGTCTACTCCCAGAATTGATCTCAGAACCTTCGGAATAGGAATTATTAATTACTCGATGTTGAACCAGCTCCATGCAGCTGAGTCATTGAGGAGCTGTTAGTTGCTAATATCTCACAAGAGTCTGCCACTGCTCCATGTCCTGAGACAGCTGAATTCTGCCCATACCCTTCCACCCCACTGTTTTAAGATCCATTTTAATATTATCTTTGATACAAAATTGAGGGGAGGTGAGAGTACGGCTTAAAGTCAGGTTTACAGGAGGACCTGACAACAGGCTGCTCAACTTTCTTTCAACTTTTATACCATCTGGGAGTACAAAATTGCAGATTTCTTGAAAGCTGAAGTCAAATACTGGATTTCAGGTTCTAAGACTTCTATAGCGTAGCGTCATATAGGCCGGTAAAAATTCACCGAAATATTGGAGGACCATATTGTTTCCATCTTCAGGATTGAAAAATAAGCCAAGGAAAACATTTTCGCGTCTTTCTTGGTAGTTTCTTTCATCTCTTACTCTTCAACCATGATGATGAAATCAGTATCTTTCAGCGAAACGTCGGGTGAACTGTACAGGACTGCACGACGTCACATCCTAGAGGCCGTTACCCTTCATGTCCAATGGACTGTTTGATTAGAGTAATTATGTCTTAGTTGTATAGGCTGAAAATGTAAGGAAATTTTGCAAAGAAAAGATTTTTAATGTGTTTATTAAACTGCGACCATGCCAATTTTATGCATCAACATGAGAATTACAGAGCGGACATTCATGAATTTTGATATAGGAGAGTTTTACTAGAATCTGTAGAAGTATTTATATTTGTGTTTCAATTTTGATAAGAGTAACCGATGCTTTACGTGTGTTTCTGCTCACATTACTAGCGTTACTAGCGAAATGTTTATTGCAGCGAAAAGTTGGAAAGATAACTACAGAATAGACAGCAAACCCTCGCTAAACCGGTTACAATTAATCTGGATGTCGGGTAATCAGGAGCGAAATATGAAAAGTGAAAAATTCTCTTCAGAGTTGAGTACACATGGCATTTAGAAGCAATGGAACTTTCAGGCTGTGTTGAGGGCACCTGGAGATATTGAAACCACGCAAGAAAATATCCAAGATTAGCTTGAGCTGGATGAAGGAGACCCTGGAATAGACAGGAAAGAATTGCTGCAGTGATTATTTATTTATTTTTTTAACAATACCTGTATTATGAAATTTTTTATTTATTTGTTTTCTAAGACTTTTTTTGCCTTTCAGGGCTAACTTTAGCATAATTAATCCGAAATTTTCCTTAATCTTGATGACCTCTCCCACCCAATAAATCCGGATACTTCCCAAAATTTTGTAGGCTCTATATTTCCTAAAATGCAGAATGTTTGCCAAGCCTTTAACATATACTTGTACACTATACACTCTGTACACTAATGACTATTTCAAGCTTTCTCCATGCTCCTCAGTGAACTTCTTGAACCAGCTTAAGGAAACAAGTTGAACTCTTTTCAAAATTGAAACGTGTATGTTCTGCTGTTGTATTGCCCTTCAGCTTATCAGCGATCAGTAAATATGTCACAAATGGAAGTAAAACAGCTATAATGGACGCAATAGGTTTTCTATGTGTCACTAGGTAGCAGCACCGTCCAGCTTAATGACTGTCTAGGCTGGAGACGAGCATGCGAAAGTTCAAAGGCTGGATTTAGTAGTCAAATTGGCAAACGTGTTGAGGATTATACTACCAAAGAGCAGCGTTCTGCTATGCTTCTTTATGGGTAAAAGGACTAGGTGCAAAGTATATTCTTAAAGAAATATTTTCTGTCTGCAGTGGAAAATGTCTGTCGCGTAAGGCGGTTCAAAACTGGGCCTAGAAATTCTCTCATGTGCTTTGAAAGTCGCAGATGATGCCCGACCAAGTGGGGAAATGGCCGAGAGAACAATCAAAAGACTTCTATGCTGCGGGTTTCGACGCATTGATAAAGCGATGGGGCAAATGTATCCATGATGGTGGAGTATATGTCGGGAAATAAAGTTTTTCTTTTTAGTTTCGAATATCACATATTTTACGTTTTATATGTGTTTGTGGCCTATTTATTGACTCTCCCTCGTACCATCCAAGACTTTTGAGCAACCCTGTACTACTCGAAACCACCGAGCACACTGCTGTAGCTGTATGATTCTAAGACTTCTATCTTGGACGTGACGGATTCGAACCTCGGCTGAGACACCAGCTGTTGTTTTCCTCAGTGTTTCCAGACAAATACTGGGATATTGGCTCGATTAGGCAAAAACAACTTCCTTCAATTTTTTTTTAATTCACCACTCTCTTGTCATCCTACCATTCGACGCTATGTACTTTAGACGCTGATGGCGTCGTGAAGTAATCTCCAAGACAAAATCCTTTCTGGGCTATAGGCTGAAGGTGAGAAGCTTTCCATTGAGTCCAGGTAAGGAGCACAGCTGATTACAACGCCGTGGTGCGGACAGAAAGGGAACTTCTGGCAGAGTCATTGCAAGCGTCAGCTGGGAGCCATAGGTTCTGTGCTATCGGGTTGCATTGTTATCAGGACTGGGGCGATATAACCGTTTACATTTTGAAGCATGAAAACAGAGAGAGGGATGAGAGTGTATAAGGAAGGGAGGGAGAGGAGGAAGGGGCACCACAATTTACAGGGGGAAATTTAAAATTTTCCTAAATCTGAAGTCTTCCAGGTACTGCCCGCTCGTCCTTTTGGTAAAGTCATGTTTGAGAGATGGTAAAACGTTGGAAAGTGTATTTTATTACGAACTCAATTTCAATGAATTCAATTTCAGACGGCAATATGACAAGCACGTAGTAGCAAGCATGTGCTTTAAGACAGAGGAAATAGCAAGAAAATCTCTCTCTATGTGGTCGGTAGCAGAACCTTCGGGACACACTGACCTCTAGCCAGAAGTCAGGCAAACAGCAGAATGTGGGACCCTGAAACATTTTACTAACCCTTAACATTCAGATCCTACATCACAGGAAACTCATTACGTCTTCGCTACGAAGCCCAACCGTTTAATGCTGTTTAGGGAAATAATCGCTGTTTACTGTGAGAACCATACGGAACACATAAATACACTGTGTGGGCAGAATTCAGAGTTCAGTTCGTACCTCACAGGGAACACATTACATCCCCACTACAAAGCCCAACCGGTTAATACTGTTTAGGGGTGTAACTTCTCTCTATTGTGGGAACCATACGGAACACATGGATACAATCTGTGAGTGTCTTAGAATTAAAGTAAGTTTTACACAACCACTGTGCTTTAAAAGATTATTTGATGGAAATATATGGGTTCTAAATCTTTAAATTTTCCTCTTTACTCTCTAGACAACAGATTGAAGAAAAAAGATAATTCATCGAAATTATATTGTGGTGTATAGGCCCGTTTCTAGGCAGTGACCGTAAAGCAATCGACGAAACAATATTTGCTGCTAGGCAACAGATTTCAACAATAAGGAATAGACTGCTGCTAGGGAACATTTCGGTAAATATTTTTCCAAGGTAGTGGGTAAAAGTGAAATAATAGAGGAATTATAGACGGTGTTTTCTACTCG